TTTCTTTTAGGAATAGGTGGCTTTTTGTTTATCTTTAATAATTAATATATAAAACAAAAGATTTATATGTAATATTATTAATTAACATGTTTCATAAAAAAAATATTCATTTATTATTAGTGTTGGAATTGGGCCTGTTCTAATTCATGTCTGGACATTAACCATCAATGGTTTCATAAAATTTTTTTTAAAGTTTAATTTTTTAAAAAATGCCACCTATAAAACGTTCTTCACTGAATAATATATCATAATATTAAATGAAAAAGTCAATAAATCTAATCATTATGCACTTTGTCATTTTTGTAAAACTAAATTAACAAGTTGGTAACTTCTCACTTGAAAAATTGTACAATATTCAAGGAACAATATACTGAACATTAACAGGATTCTTTTTCCTGAAGATGAGAATAATCAATATGATGATGGTAATTTTTTAGCAACTTTTTTTATTAAGATAAATATAATTATTAAGCAAAATAAAACTTACAATTTTACATTTTGAGGACTGAACTTGATTCTTCCTCTTCAATATGCACCAATGAATCCTCAAGTTTTTCAATTTTATCAAATTCATCATCAGCTTTGTCTGTAGGAAAATCAGGTAATAAAAAAGAAAAATAAGTAATAATTTGCTCACCCTGTTCTTAATAAAAAAGCCAAGTGGAAGTTGAATGATATTTTTAATTTGAGAAAATCGAGCCTCCTATATATTTATCTTGATTTTTTTTTAATTTCGTTATAGGGGGAGGGTCAGTTAACATTTATATATATTGATTTATATATTTTTTGTTTGTTTAACTTATATTTATCTATATACATACGCATATATACACATATAGTGTATGTATATGTGTAAATATTTATTTTGAAGTATTTTTACTTATATGCACTTTTACAAATTCATTTATTATAAAAAATTCTAGACGGCAACCTATTACTGGAAAAGGCATTCTTAAAGTTTTATTATTTTTTGAATATTTAGCAGCAGAGGTAAAAATAATAAATTATTAATTTATATATATAATTCATTCATGATATAACTAACCAATTATAACTAATCATTTTATTATGTTTTATAAAAAGATGTTTCCAGCTAAAAAAGATATAGCGCATTGGAAAAGAATCGTTTCAGAATTCTTTTCAGAGGAAGGGCGATTTATTTATTTATTAAGAAGTTCAACAGATTTTAAAACTAAAATTTTTGGTTAGGATTCATTTAATAAAATCATAACATTTTATTAATTAATAGTTATTTAGATCTTATGATTAATTAGTTAGTTGATTATGATTAATTTCTTCATTTTATTATAACATTATTGATAAAAATTAATAAATAGATTTACCAACGCCAATAATTGCTAGATTTTTCCAAGTAAATTTTGATTCAGGCGTAAATTCGATACAAATAACAATGAATAGTGTCAAGGAAAGTCTTGGTAATCAACTTACAATAAATAATAATCTGGAGAATAAATTAATTAACACAATAGAAGCAAAATCACAAATGATCTATAATTATGCCAATGGTTCAAGGGTACATATTATTGATTGGAATGATATTCTAAATTATAATTATGATTGTTAATATTTAAATTTTATTTTTACATTTTTATAGGTTGTGTTTAGTGGTAGACTAAAGATTCGTCTTAATTTAAGTACAATGATAGAAAGTTTTGAATTTTTTACAGATAATTATATAGAATATGTGCCAAGAAATATAGAGATATCATGTCCTATTAATGAATTTGGAATAACAATGAAAACTTTAAGATGTTTAGAGGTAAATCATCCTATTGATTATTTGATTAATGCCACGAAAAAAAAGATTCATAAAATGATAT